TTCCGCCTCTCAGTCTTCTTAGACTCCCTCCCTCACCAGCAAAGCCTCCCTATTCAGCCAGCCTGACTTTGCGATTTTTTTCATTTTTTTCACATCTTCAGCCAGCCTGACTTTGCAATTTTTTCATTTTTTTCACATCTTCTTCTTCTTCTTCTTCTTCTTCTTCTTCTTCTGCTGCTGCTGCTGCTGTTTCTTCAAATTCTTCTTTCCTCGTTGTTCGTGAACCTTCTGCAAGATGGCATCTTCAAGCGGGGCAGGCACTTCGAGGGGGAAGGAGGCGGTGGGTTCGGACGATAGAGGCACACGCGTGAAGGAACTGTTTCAGCCGCAGCCTGAGGCAAGGCAGTTGCAACTGCAGGCGACGAAGGTGGCATTCAAGTGGGTGACGCAGGGGCAGATGGTCCCGCCATTGTCGAAGGGGCAGTACAGAGTGAAGTGCAATTTGTGCGGTGCAGATTGGGTCGCCTCGTACACGCGTGTGTGGCCGCACTTCACACGGAAAACTAATCCATGCCCCGCGCGTTATCCAGAGATGCTTCACATCCTTGCTGCAAAGGGGCATGCGATTGACTGCAAAAAGACGTTGCGACTCATCCAATTGTATCGGATGGAGCACAACATCCCCCAGGACGGTTTGGTTTCTGCAATTCTAGAGGTGGAGGCACAAGGGGACACAGTGGATGCGTTCATAGTGCCACCGACAACATGGCAGAGCAGAACGGTGCCGACTGTGGAAGCTGATGAAGAGGCAAGAGAGGGGGTTGTGGAAGAAGGTGGTGGAATGTCGGGGACGTCTGCGCATGGATCCGCTGCGGGCCCAAAATCCAGGAAGTTGACACAATCATCGATCAAAAGGTGGACAACCAACGATTTGCAGCACAGATTGGATGTGGCATGGGGGATGCACCTTTTCCGACACGGCGCCCCATTCAACTACGTCAGGACGAAAGAGACACAGGAGCTGCACGACTTGTATCTTGAGTTGGGGGAGAAAAGGCAGCGGGTGAAGATGCCTTCCTTGGAGGTCATCCGAACTGTTGTGTTGGACATCATATACAACAAGGTGCAGAAAGACATGCAGCCGTTGAAAGCGAAGTGGGATGACACGGGTTGCACTCTCCTCACTGATGAGTGCACAGATCGAAGGTACAGACCTGTGATGAACTTCATTGGGGCCGACGAGAGCGGTGCGATCCTATTGAAGGTCGTGGATATGTCCAAGAAGAAGAAGACTGCAGTCGCTCTGGCGATAATGTGGGAGCAGATGATCAGGGACATTGGGGTGCATCAGGTTAATGCAATCTGCACGGACAATGCAGAAGTCAACAAGCAAGTTGCACGGATCCTGCGAAGGCATACAGATCGTGATATATCAAGCATTCCATGGGTCCCTTGCGCAGCTCACTGCTTGAACTTGTTGATGAAGAATGTCTGCGAGCTCGACTGGGTGAAGCAAGTGGTGTCGCGCACGAAGATGATGGTCAAGTTCATAAGGAAACACCATAACACAAACAGCCTTTACACGAGGTGCTCAGAACTTTCGAGGGAATTGACATTGATTTTGCCCACGGAGGTCCGCTTCACTTCCGCATACATGATGATGAACCGGTTTTGGGGAAAGAGGTGTGTGCTTGAGGAGATGATGGAGTGGTGGAGGCAGTTGAGATGGAGCACAAGGAAAGATCGAGACAAGTCTGACCTGACATACCAAACTGTTACCGCGTCCGAATGGTGGGAGAAGTTGCGCACGATTTTGGATGTGCTGGAGCCGATATACGAGCTACTTAGGAAGATGGACCGCAACGGCACAGCCCCCCCAAGCCTTTGGCACTTTGATGAAGGGTTGGGCAAGCGTCTGAAGACACTTACGCGGTTGACCGATGAGCAGCGGCGGGCGATCATGAAGGCAGTAAAGCAGCGGACGAAGATGATGAGGCAGCCYGTTCATGCAGCGAACTTTCTTCTTGACCCAAGGAGGAGAGACAACAAKTRGTTGATGGACATGCACTCMCCGCTGGTCCAAAACACCCTCAAGTTCTTCCTATCACAGTGCAAGGAGGACGCCGCTTGAGGGGGCGACGAGCAACTAGGTCTATGGGCGGACTTGCAAGCTTTCCACAAGGCGCCAACTGAAGATATGTTGGTGAAGGATCCAGTGACAGGGAAAGTGGTGGAGGAGAGCTTGTGGACTGAGTTTGCGATCTTCGACAGCTCCCTTGCTCAAATGACAGCCTCCAAACCGCCATAGGGCCTCTCACAAGAAGTTGCGAGACATTGTCATGAGAGTGACAGCGATGTGGAGCACTGCGACCCCTTGTGAGAGGAACTGGTCCTCTCTCGATCTTGTCCACGACAAGAGAAGGGGCCCGCTGTCGCCTGACAGCCTCGCCAAGTTAGTGTACATCTACTGGAATCTTCAGCTGTTGGACATCAAGAAGAAGAAGAGTACAGGAAGCTTGGCAGGGTACTTGGACATGTGGGCTGCATTTTTCGATGAAGTGGAGCCACCAACGCCGAATGATTCTGCAGTGTTGCCAAGGGCTGCAACTACAGCAGACTTGAGTGACGACGAAGTGGCCCGCCGGGCAAATCTAACGAAGATCCCCCGAGCTAGAGTCATGAAGCCTCATGTCGTTGATGGATCAAGCTCAACGGACAGCACTGATGATGGGGAGGACCTAATTTGGAGAGGCAAAGGCAAGAACAAAAAGGTTGTTGTCGATGACGGCGAAGGCAAGGCGCAGATGGATGGCAAAGGCAAGACGCAGATTGATGTGGACGATGAGGAAGAGGATATTGAGGAGAGCGAGGAAGATCGAGCGACATATCTAGCGACGACAACGAGCTGGATGACGACCTCACACGTAACATGGAGCGGGGTTACATTGATAGCGACCTGAAGTTCTTGCGGCCTCGGGGGATGGACTTCAGGACCTCGATGACGACGTTGAGAGGGCGAGGGCGCAGTCCCTTGCTCATCGTGATCGCGCCCTTGTGGAGCAACGGATTCGAGAAGAAGTAGCAAAACAAAGTGTTGTCCCCCCTCCGATGAGGATGAACTATACAACGGCGGGAATGGGCGGATGTCTACCGGCGGAGGGGGTTCAGCAGCAGCGACATGCAGAAGGCATGCAACGGGAACAACAAGAGGAAGACGTTCAGCAGCACCAGCAGCGAGAGGAAGGCCTGCAGGAGCAAAGACAAGAGGAAGGCCTGCAACAGCAAGATGATTGGCAGCAACACCGAGAGGAAGGACTGCAGCAGCAGCAGGTGCAGCAGCAGGATGATCGGCAGCAACAGCAGCAACAAGAACAACACGACGGAGTAGAGCAGCAACAGCAACAAGAAGATGGACCGCATCCGCAACAGCAACAGCACAAGGATGGAGCGCAGCAGCAGCAACAGACAAAACGGGATGGACCGCAGCAGCATGGGCAGCACAAGGATGGAGCGCAGGAGCAGCAGCAGCAGACAAAGCAGGATGCACTGCAGCAGCATCAGCAGCACAAGGATGGAGCGCAGCAGCAGCAGCAGACAAAGGAGGATGGAATGCAGCAGCAGCAGCAGCAAGAGCACGATGGTCCGCATAAGCAACTGGAGCACGATCCGCTGCAGCAGCAGCAAAAAGAAAACGGGAGTGCAACGGGAGTCGCTCGAGTGTACTCCAGGCGGCCTCCAGTGCCCAGTGCAGCAGCAGTCCGGGGTGTGGTTCAAACCCTTCCTTTCCCTGCGTAGGTCGAGGGCGTGCAGCACGACAACTTGGACGTGAGTCTGGCGGGAAGGAAGAAGAAGGTGCAGCCTGACACAGGTCCAAAAGTGGCAAGGAAAAGGGGGCGCCCGCGAAAGTACCCACTTCAGCCAGCTCCATCAGCTTGCGCTCAGGTTGGCGAGGATGGTGGTGAAGGGGGTGAGGTGGAACAGCATGTGATTGGAGGAAGGAAGGTGCAAGGGGGCCCTGCACTCACAGTGGACGGTGTGGAGACACACCCGTCGAAGCGGCCGAAGAGGAAGGCGGCGAGGAAGGCGAGGGTCGTTGAGGACGATCCGACAGATGCATAAGAAAGCAGCAATGGGAGTGAAGAAGATGATCGGGAAAGCGACTGGGAATAGGGCTCGGCGGGGGAGGAAGCTGGAAGGCCATACACTTGTACTGATCTGAGGACTGATGATGTTCAACGGTCATAGTCGAAGTGGTGTTTTTTTTGCACAGTTAATCCCTTGGGTTTTCCAAGGCAATCAATGTTGTGCCTTTTCCTTCTTGTACTTCTTCTTCTTCTTCTTCTTCTTCTTCTTCTTCTTCTTCTTCTTCTTTTGTTACGACTGTCAGTCTGTTACCATGTTATGTCAATGGAGGCTCATTGTCGATCACAATTCATAAGACCTCTAAGTCCGTGCAACAGTTTCTGTGAAACTGTCTGCTGCACTTTGCCACTTACGTTGTTTACAGCCTGCCATTCTTTACAACATGACTTCGAGTTTGCTTGCATGGCTGCTTGGAATCACGGGGAGCAGCGACCGGGTCTGAATGTTGAGTCCACACTTAGACTCAGTCCGCTGTTGGAGAACAGTGGGACAGAGTTGCTTAAAGTTTGCTGCTTGAAATCATGGGGAGCAGCAGACTGACTCAAACTTGAGTTTCAGTCCACACTCAGACTCGGTTTGAGTCTGAGTGTGGACTGGAACTCAAGTTTGAGTCCACACTCAAACTCAGTCTGCTGCTCCCCGTGATTTCAAGCAGCAAACTTTGAGCAACTCTGTCCCGCTGGTCTCCAGCAGCGGACTCAGTACTATGAGACATTATTTTGCGACAGTGTTCGGAAATCAGGGGATTTTTGTTTGCTGGCATTTGCTGCTTGTGAGTGCTTCAACCTGCTTTACTTTTGCGAGTCCACGGGGGATGCAGTAGTTGCTGTGTGCATGCCACCAGCTGCAGTTGCTCAAGTACAGGCGGGACAAAGCAGCTGCTGCATCCCTGGTCCTGCAAAACGGGCAACCCAAGATCCACCACGCTTTTGCACCCCCTCCCCTCACCATCCTCACTGCCCCTGAAACAGACCTAAATCGACATCCAATGTCATCCATAGAAATTAGATATGAGGCTTACGAGCCTATTACGAGGCCGGGTATATGCAGTACTCGGAATGCGCAGAAAGGCCCCGGAAAAAAAAAAAAAAAAAAAAAAAAAAANAAAAAAAAAAAAACCATGCCCGCGGTACCCCGGGCGACAGCGCCCGGCCGGGCGCCCCGGGAAAGCTATTAGGATTTTTCCTGCCGCGCGGCGCCTTTTGTCTACGTGCTTCTTCATGCGGCCGCAACGGTACTCTGATTAGTGGGCTCTTAATCGTGTGTGTAACTGTAATTTTGGGCAGGGGCCATTGTAACTGTATCTTTCTTCTTGCACTTCGTCTCTCCCGCCCTCCCTCTCTTTCTTTTGCTGAAATTTTTGTAAGCCGCGGCTTGCATGCTCCGATCGATGCGTGGAGAAGGGCTACGTCCCCCACGCCGCGGCCGATCATGCAGAACGCAGGCGCTCCCTCTCTAATCCCCACTCTAAGTCCTGGTAATTCCGTGTTCTTCGCGCATGCATGCATGCTATAAATTCCGGCTGCGCGATTAGTCAGCTCTCTTAACCCGTTGTTGGAAGGTCGGGGTTGCGCGATCAGGAAGGGTCGGCACACGAGCGAAGTCAGAGGTGAGTAGAGTAGGAGTTGGGCGACCCGGCGGGCTGGTGCCGAACGCGCGGGATTGACGTGGGCCACGACGGACTGTGGGCACGGGCGAATCCGACGGGTGCAGGAGGACTAAGCGGGGTGACAACTTCGTGGGTTGGTGCGTGACGACGGACTGTCCACATCGGAGAGAAAGAGAGAAAAGGAGAAAGTTGAGGTCGATGGACGCGGATTTGTTGTTTCCTTGTCTCTTCCCCCTCTTCATCTGTGTACATACGTTTTGATTGCGCCTCTGGGCGGTTTTTGGCCGTTCTTATTTTCGTTTCGGCTTTCTGGAATCTGGGCTTGGGTTTTTGCTCACACTTGCCCTTGCGATGTCCGTCCTGATTGCATTGTGTGTATGATTGTCGAATGTATGGACGTATGGATGTATGCTTGCTTGTCTATCTTTTTGCTGAAAATCCCTGCCCTTGCTTTATGTCTGTGTCGAATCTTTGCTCGCACCTGATGCCGCTATAGAGGGGAGAAGAATCTGGCCCGGATAGCGATTTTGTTCTCGTTTTTGCTTGTCTCACGATGGGGTTGTGCTATGGTTGCATCCTGCATAATCGAAACTTACGAAGCAATTAGACGATATGAAACCTGGCCCTGCGAACGCCGCGCGAGAACACGTGTAAACGCGATCCGAGTCGCGCCCTTACACGCATCCCTGTGCGTCGATTCGCCCACCCAAAAAAGGATTCGCGGCGGAACCGTCATCCCGTACGAGCATGCTGAGGCACAACTAAGTCCGCCTGTTCTGCACGTGCTCGTGCGCGGTGACGATAACCCGACCCGAGCTATCCCATCGACGATGATGCCATGACGCGATCTTGGAGCTCAGACTCATCCTACGRCCYGGAGTATTTCACCCCTTGGATRAACGAACTTATAAGGCTGCGATACCCYTGCCACACGGRGAATCGACTATGTCCGCGGGAATTCCACTGCGCCACCTCTAGCGACCCTCGGTGCTCTGATTTCCCTTCCCCCGACCACACCTACTACTTCACCCACCCGGGATTTGTTGAGATCACCACCAGTTTCCCTCCTTTCCACCTTCTTCTCCCATATCATCAACTCAGCGCCGTCCCGTGGCCGGCCATAGCCCCCTATTGGCCCGGTACGTTTTGCGTGAATTGCCGACGTCGCGGAGAACAAAGAACTCCGGAATTCCGAAGGCCCAATCCAAGCGCGCGGCGGCCTGCACCACGTGGCGGCCCCCGACGGCCCAACTTTTTAGGACCGCCTCCACCGCGGAGGGATTTCCCCGTTAACCGTCGCCCACAGTGCCCCTGCCCCATCTGACCTTGAGTCCCTCGCGCACGCACCCCTATTCGCCTAATTGCATTCATACCCTCAAGACTCCCCCACTTTCCCAAAAATCCTTGGCACAACCCTTTTCGCACTTCCAGGCCCATACCCCACTCCGATCAGGAAGTCGCGCTGGGCGTGAGGTTGGGCGTCACATGAGCGCGTAGGCACTCGTATCAGCAGCTAGCGCAGCAGCACTTACGCATGAACCAGCAAGTGCCCGAATGAGCAGCCAGTGACCAGGCCCTTTCCTTTATGGAAAGTGGCTGCTAGTCGTGGGCTGCCTGGTTGGCCTGGGCCTCTTCCCAGAAGCTTCCGGTAGGCCCCAAGTGGCTGAGTCTCTGTCCCAGGGAATATTCCACAAGGTCTCTGGCAGTTACGCGTGTCCAACTGCCAGACGTGCTGTTTACAGTGTGCCTCATGTCTGGCCCAGGGCCTGCCTCCGATTCACTTAGAAAGGGCCTGGAGCCCGAAACAGATGTTGTTAGGCAGGGCCTGGGCTCACTCAACCAACTGACGCTGCGTAACTGTCTGATACTTCCCCAGTTGCGACAAACCCAAAATAGGCCTCTCGTCAAGGGCGGCCATACTTGCTGGAACAGGCCCAAAAAGGGCTTACCGAGGCCTTGAGCCTCGCAAATGAAACAAACAAACAAAACAACAGCACTGCATTTGAACGGTTCATGGGTGTACGAACTGAGCTAAGGCCAGTTCGTCTGACGGGGATTTCCTGACTGACTGCCAGTTGGATGAGGGCATGATACATTTAATAGCAGCGTTTTCTTTTCGAATGTTGACAAGCAAGCCGTCTTTCAGTCTAGATACACTTACCATCAGGGGCGTCATGTTCTCACGACCTTTTTCGACATCGGCTCTTTCTTTGCCCCTTGTAATAATGGCAATGAAAACAAGCTAGCTCAAAAGTAAGGAGGCGTTTTGGTCAGAAAGGGACCACAATAATTGGTTTCTTTTAAGGGGAAACTACACGGGAGTCACAAAAAGAGTCTGAAAGAAGGCATTTTGCTCTGAGGAAGGGGCAGTTTCCTTCTCAAGTCTGGGGCCTTTTGTTGACATCGGTCCTCACTCCACCACTCACCAAATGTGCAAACTGAGAACAAATATTCCGCTAGAACATGGAAAGAATCAGCACTACATGTTTTGTCTTTTGTGCCTGTGTAGAGTGAGGCCCACATCCAGTCCTGAGCATCTGATTCTGTTTGATGGAGGTTCTCTGCTGAACTTGTATCTTTTCTCAGTCTTCTCACCTCCAATTATTGCAGCCTCTGCAATTCTGGCCTGTGGGATGTCAGTCTCCCTCCTGTAGCCCATACCATGACATGGGAACCATTGACTCTTGACTAGGGGGGAAGGGACAGGGAATTCTGACACATGGCGTAGGGGTATCGTGGGATCCACTTTACACCAGTCTTTGAAATGGAGCTTGTAGTTCCTGATGAAGACTTCTCTTGAGTCTCCTCCTCTTTCTGGAGCACCTTCCCAATCAACCTTCCCAAGTTTCCCTCCCTGTTCCCCTCCAAGCCAGTCGCAGTTGAATTTGCTGATTTGTTCAAGAACTTCTTTCTTCTTTGAGAGATGCAGAATTTTTTCCTTTGTGCATTGTCATTGGATTCTCATATCTGTCTGAATTTGTTCTTTGATGCTGTCAGTAAATTCCGGGCCATCTAGTCTAGGCCCTTCCCATTCGTTTGTGCACCTCCTTCTCCAAATAGCCCAAAGTATTGCTCTTCTGCCGAAGATGAATAGGTTTTGTGTGAATTCATCATAGGGGTCTACCACCCACGCCTCCAGCAGTAGCGGTTTCCATCCCCATGGCCATCTTTCTGTAGTTTCTAGCTGGTCCCATATTTTGTCCACCATCTCCATAGCCACACTGAGCCTGGACATTGCAGGAAGATGTGCTCAATAGTCTCCGGTATGGTTCTGCTCGGGAAGGCGGATTTGCAGAATTTACGCCATGGCTTGGCTAATCCCTTTTGTCCAGTGATCTTTTATCTATTAGCCAATCATTGGTTGGGAGACATCTGTATTCTATCTGCCATTGCAGGAAGGCTATTTTGACCGGTTTGAGTTTCTTATTTTGGAACCAATTGATTTGTCGGAGATCCTTTTTACCCAGATTAAGTTGGTCCATCCATCTTTGTGCCAATCTGTCCTTGAGGTCTATTCTTGGTCTTAACATTCTCTATGTTGATTCGACTGTGAGAGTATGTA